AAATGTTTTCGCTGATATATTCTTTTCGAAAAATTCAAAGTAGCAAAGAAACTCAAAACTGGTCCAAAAAATAGTTATAATATTTAACATAGGTCAAGGGCCTCTTGATTAAAATGCATTCGTATTTTTATACCCTCCACCTTGGAAAGGAGGGTATATTAACTTTGTTATTCCGTTTGTAACATCCTTAAATATTCATCGTAGACCCCATAAAGTATATATATTCATAATCAGCATAAAATTCTAAGTCGATTTAACCATGTCCGTCTGTCTGTCTGTCCGTCTGTCTGTTGAAATCACGATACAGCCCACATTATTTGAAAATTTAGCAGAGCAATTTATATTGTGTCTAGGATGGTTGGTATTGAAAATGAGATATATCGGTCCACGTTCTGGTATAGTCCCCATATAACGGTACCTCCCGATATTCGGTATATTGATGATTTATGCCACATTTTTTAACGGATTTGTCTGAAAATTGGTATTTGTAGGTCATAACGGGTCCCTGTACGTGTGGAAAAACATTGCATGTATAGGTCCACGTTTTGGTATAGCCCCCATATAAAGGTACCTCCCGATATTCGGTATTTTGATTCGGTATTTTGATTTTGCCACATTTTTTTCACGGATTTGTCTAAAAAATAGTATTTGTTGCTCATAATGAGTTCCAGCTCCGGTGGCGAAAGATTGCATGTATGGGTCCACGATTTGGTATAGCCCCCATATAACGGTACCTCCCGATATTCGGTATTTTGATGGTTTTTGCCACATTTTTGCACTGATTTGTCTAAAAATTGGTATTTGTGGGTCATAATGGGTCCTAGTTCGTGTGGCGAAACATTGTATGTATAGGTTCACGTTTTGGTATAGTCCCCATATAACGGTACCTCCCAACATTCGGTATTTTGATGATTTTTGACACATTTTTTCACGAATTTCTCTGAAAATTGGTAGTTGTAGATCATAATGGGTTCCAGTTCGTGTGGCGAGTCATTGTAATTATAGGTCCACGTTTTGGTATAGCCCCCATATAAACGTACCTCCTGATATTCGGTATTTTGATAATTTTTGCCATATATTTTCGCGGATTGGTCTAAAAATCGGTATTTGTAGGTCATAATGAGTTCTAGCTACGTTGGCAAAACATTGCATGTGTAGGTCCACGATTTGGTATAGCCCCCATATAACGATACCTCCCAATATTCGGTATTTCAATGGTTGTTGTCACAGTTCTTCTAATGTTTCCTTTACCCTAAGGTGGAGGGTATTAAAAGTTTGGCCCGGCCGTACTTAATGTTTTTTTTTTCTTGTTTCTAAGTTTAAGTTGTTCCTAAAAATATTTCCTTACAGACTTTATACCTGCATTACTATGGAATTCCTATATAGAACTCCTATTATCATTTCCTAGTACAAATTCTAAATTTCCTGGAATCTGGAAATTAAGCCACATTCTTTAATTTTAATTATTTGCTAATGTTTCTCTTCCTATATATGACTCTCTTCTAATTCCCTCCTTGACTACCCCACGTGACCTTATGTGATTGAAATATTTCAATTTTATTTCCTTCCCACTTCCCACAATCACTTTGCCCTTTTCTCAATGTTTTCCGTTTCACAATTTGCCAATGTTTATCTGGGCGGAAGAATGTTTTGAAATCGCCGTTTCTTAACGCATTAAACGTCATTATTCTTTAAGCGATCTTTTAGCAAAACAAAAAAAAGTGGCAAATGACAAAGTGTACTTGTACCGTCGTAGTACACATTGTGATTATGTACATATTAAGTACATACATACATACATGCATGCTTGCGTGTTTTTATATTCTGTTACCTACAACCTTTAAAGCATTTCCTACTAGCCTAGAGAGAAATGGAAAGCCGATGTCAAGAATAACATTACTTTGTAGAATCTACACATTGTAGATTGTGATTACATTGCTTTTAATCATCATCAGAGGAAACGGAAGCTTTGTTTTATGTTTACAGTGAAAAAATGAAGAAAAAAACACACACTCACACACTTGCATAATTCACATACACATACAGGAAAAAGTGCAAATTGCTGATGGCTGTAAAATGTGTATGAGATGTATATAATGGGATGTACAGAAACATTTACAGTGAAGCGTAGATTTGCAAAATATCCTTGTCTAAAAAATGATTATTCTAGGTTATAAGAGTACTAAATTTTAGTATTTTTAAAAATATATATTTTGCTTAAATGTTAATTTTTTAAAAAAAATATTGAAAGTATTTTTTGTATACCTTTAGACGTAACAAAGATATATATTCTTGATCAGTGTAAAATTCTAAGACGATTTTCGTCTGTCTGTCTGACTGCATGTCCAGCTGTTATAATCACGCTAGAGTCAAAACAAATTAAGATAGGCAGCTATAATTTTGCACAAATGGGCAAAATGGATGGCAAAGTGGTCCACGATATCGTGTAGCCCTCATACAACGGATCCCCCGATATTCGCTATTTGGATGATTTTAGATCCATTTTTTAATGTGTACTACAGCCTATGACAAAAAATTGCGTATGCAGGCCCACGTCTTTGTATAGCCCCCATATAACGGTACCTCCCCTATATTCGATATTTTGATGATTTTAGCGACATTATTCACTGTAACAGAAAATGATCTAAGCTGGTTCAGGTCTTCGTATAGCTCATATATAGGCACCCCCTATATTAGGTATTTGTACGATTTTAGCTGCAATATTCACAGGAATTGTTTCAAATTTCATATTTAAAGTTCGCAAGTTTGGTACTGCAGTCTACGACAAAAATTTGCATATGCAGATCCACATCTTCTTATATCCCCCATACAACGATAATTCTCAATATCCGGTATTTTTATGCTTTTGAGAACATTATTCGCCGGAATCGTTTCAAAGTTAGAGCTCGTAATGGGCACTGCAGCCAATGACAAAAATTTTTGTATGCAGGCCCACGTCTTCGGATAGCCTCCATATAGCGGTACCCCCCTATAATCAATACTTTAATGATTTTAGCGACATTATTCACTGTGTAATTTTTCAAATTTTGTATTTAAAGTTCGCTATAGATACTGCAGTCTTTGATAAAAATTTGCATATACAGGTTCACATCCTCGTATAGCCCTCATATAACGGTTTTCCTTTGAGCGGTATTTTTCCACGGAATTTTTCGGACACTTTCGAGTTCCTGGAAAATGTTGGAGGATATTAAAAGTTCGGCCCGGCCTGCTGCTTTTGTACATGTTAAGGACTATTAGAGTTCTGGAACTCGGGTTTTTGAAAAATATTTGAGACTTGAATCGTAGAATACGTTTTTCAAGAGCCTTTAGAACATTAACCTTTTTTAAAGAACTAAATTTTTTTCCTGAATTATAAGAATACTTTTTAAGGGCTTCAGGGCCAAAACACATGGATTTTTTAGAATATTTTCTCAAGGAAACCCTGAATCGGGATTTATTTATAATAATTTGCAAGGATAGTCTATAGCTTTAAAACGTGCGATTGTAAATATTTTTTTTTAAAAGTAATAGTAGTTGTAGTAGAAACGTGGATTAGTAAAGTTTATTTTTTAAGGACTTTTTTTTAAGAATATTTTCAAGGACTTTAGAATCGTGGATTGAAAAAATGTTCTCTATGGACTACCGGAGCCATATACTCTATTGATTGTGAATTTTTTAAGAGGGCAATCAAAGCTGTGACACTTGGTTTCTAGGAATATTTTCTGAGGACTTTACAGCTATCTGTCCTATGAATATTTTTAGAGCGTTTTTAGGACTATCTGTCCTTTGAGAGGTGGATTTTTAAAAACATTTTTTAAGAACCAATAGAGCAATAAGAGTATTTTTAAGAATACTTTTGAAAGGACTATCAAACCAATGAAAAAAAGATTTTTTTTAGAATATTTTTTTTAAGATTATTTAAATTTCGAACCCGGCGGAACCAGAAACACAAGAAGAGGACACTTCTGACCATTATATTGATACTGACATCCAAAATATCCGATATATAGAAAATTAGGTACAATCTATGAAATTAGTGTGAAATTGTTTTGATTGCCTATCAGTACGACAGAAAGCCATAATGGATTTGGACCTCAGGGGGCTTTCAAGATATTATATTGTTGTAGCTTATCACATAGTCGGCCCAGCACGTCTATAGCTATTGCTTACTTGTTAAAGTTTACAAATTTGACTTTTTATGAATATTTTGGAAAGTTTTTTTTTTTTTATTTTTTAGGGACCTTCTGTTTTCTTTTTTTTTTTTTGATTTTTTGTTAGATCCATCATCATGAGTGTGTAATATATATATATATATATATATATATATATATATATATATATATATATATATATATATATATATATATATATATATATATATATATATATTTAAGGAATTTGTGCGAATATTATTCTAAAGATCATCGCAATTATTTTGAAGGATTTTTATGATATTTTTCTTTACAAAAAAGAATATATAAATTTATTCAATCCTCCCTAATACATAATTCACAATTATTCATACAAAATTTTTTCAATGAAAACACCAACCCATACATAAACACACATACATTTTTAATGGCTTCTAGTTATATTTTTGATTCTGTCATATCATGTCATTCAATGAGAAATATTCTATTGGAATCTATTTTCATATCGTAATCCAACAACAACAAACAAAAGCGGCACGCCTGGTGTAAAAATTGTCGATCTACACAAAAAACAGTCATAATTGTTTTGAAATAATTACTATTGCATGTGTGGTGGACTGGAAAAGTAGTCAAAAGGTTAAAGTGTCACTGTCGGTTTGTTTGAAAACCATTTTGTAGCGCTTAATTGCCAAATGTCAACGAAATGTATGCGAGCAACTGTTGTAGAATAGGAAATGGGTCGCTTTTTTTTACACCAGTTGATAGCTAAAAACAAATAGGCAGCTATATTTTTCTAAACAATTAGGCGTTAATATTGATGACATGATACGGAATTGTTGGAGTACTTACATTAATGCCCACACTAATTTTCCGTCAGCAGCCAGTCTGAAATAAAGAATTGAAATATTAAACATTAATTGGAGAATCATTAGATAACTAGTTTTTAATGAAAGTTTCTGCAAGAAATGGGATTGAAGTTAGAAAATATATATTTATGGTGGGGGTGTAGAAATAAAATGATTTGCAGGGTGAGATAAAAAAACTGCAACAAAGTCAAACTCCGTAATTTTTATTTATTATTTTTTTTAATTTTATTGAATAAAAGAACAAAATGTCGGAAATAGCCTCAAATTTTAGATTAAGCTTAAATTTGTTCGAATTGGTCACCTTTGGCACGAATTATGGTCTTCAAACAGCCAATGAAACCGTCACACGCTGCCCAAATGTTGCTCTGCGTATATTTTAGCCCATTCCCGGCGAAGCGCTTGTTTGAGGTAACCGACACTTTGGTATTTTTTAGTGCCAACCTTGCTTTCAAAAATACTCTAGACAAAATAGTCCAACGAATTGGTATCCGGAGATTTTGGTGGTCATTGTTCGCTGGCTGAGGCTAGGAACCTCATTTTGTAACCATTCTTGGGTAGCGGTGGCGAGTTGAGTTGATGCTGAGTCCGGTTGGAATGTCCAAGGTCTGCGGACAAAATGTTTGCGTGCACAAGGCTTTAATACACCCTCCAGAATATTTTCGCGATAATATTCGGCATTTATTTCTGATAAGTTTTGACATTTATTCTGACGATTAATACGAGCGGAGAGCGACCATTGGCTCTTATGGCGGCCCACACCATCACCATGGCCAGTGCTTGAGTTCTGGTGGGCAACCGATGGTGCACATTTTCAGCAGACTTCTTTGGCAACTAAACACGATCATTTTGTTTGTTTACAAACTGCTGGACAAACATTCATCGGAGAAAACCAAATTCAGCAGAAGCAACTCTTTAGCTCTTTTAAGTCTATATTCCTTCTGTTGCGATGTAGGTTCTCGTACTTTTTGGAATTTCAAGGGCTTTACGCCGAGCTCATTTTTTAATATTTGCCGAATGGAATATTGCGAACATAGCTCACAAGCCATTTTTCGGCCACTACGACGCGGGTTTCGATCAATTCGCTTCTTTACTTTTCAAACTATTTCTGCTGATGTTGATGTTTTTTTCCGCCCACTTCCTTGACGCCGGGCTACGTTACCAGTATCACGGTAACGAGGGATGGTACGTGACACAAAAGATTCAATCACATTTAAATGCTGGAGTGCTCTAACCATAGCCTCTTGTGGTTTTCCACCCAAATACAAAAAAATTACACTATCATGCTTGAATTCCATCACGAATAACTTTTTTTCTGGAAAATGCTCACCAAAATGCTTTTGTACGCTTGTAAACAATATAATGAGCTGGAATAATTTTAACAGCTGTCGGACGAGTGGCTTAGAAATTACAGCAGTCTGAAGTTGTTTGCAGTGTTTTCATCTCGCCCTGTATGGTGGGGTTGTAAAAATAAAGTGACTTATGTTTGGTAGAATCGCTTCCTATTGCAAATATAAGATATTTTCAATGCATTTCATTTAAATACCCGTTCTAGTTTTCAAATAGACAATCCCTGATATTCCCTCTCACCTCTCCCACCAACATTTAATCTGTAACAATTCCAAAAAATACACATTGTTCATCCCTGTATGTAATACACTTTTCACATCCTGTTGAACAATATACAAATGTGTGCATGATATGATTATATAATGATCAACACACACACACAGACACAACCACAATTATTATTAAAAAACAAAATAATCATTTAATCACTTAAAGTATTTAAATGAAATTAAAAACATTTAATGACTGATGTTTCTGCTGCTGCTGGTGCTGTAACACATTCCATTACATAACAATCGAATTAAGGACGTACACGTATTGGCCGGATTAATTTCGTAATAATTGTAACACCATACGGAAATTATCGATACGCAAATGGTGTTAAATAGTGAAATAATTTAAATACTTAATTTTGTGGAATGAACCAGCATCAGATTCCATTTTACTGGTATTGAAAAATGGTTGATAAACGGAAGTTAACTTTATTTTTGAGAAAATACGGTAACTCTCCACAGGAGGCTGCAAAACATAATACTGTGCGACAAAACTCAATTTTTTTAGCAAAATCTATCAGCGATTTCAAAGTTTACATCACAAATTAAGCTAAGTAGAAGAGAAAGTTCAATCCACCTCGCACACATTTTTTTTTTTAAATTTTCGGATCAGGATTCCTTGGAGTTCTTGTATTTTAGGTACATGGTGCCTTCGACGATATTACTGGTAACAATATGAGAATTATTTAGGTCGAAAATGTTAACCCCCAAAAGAGTCGCCAAATGGATTTTTATACCTCCACCTTGGAAAGGAGGGTATATTAACTTTGTCATTCCGTTTCAAAGTATATTTATTCATAATCAGCATAAAATTCTAAGTCGCTTTAACGATGTCGGTCTGTTGAAATCACGATACAGCCCACATTATTTGACGTAGCAGAGCGATTTGTATTGTGTCTAGGATGGTTGGTATTGAAAATGAGATATATTGGTCCACGTTCTGGTATAGTCCCCATATAAATATACCTCTCGATATTAGGTATTTTAATTTTTTTGCTACATTTTTCACGGATTTGTCTGAAAATTGGTATTTGTAGGTCATAACGGGTCCCTGTGTGTGTGGCAAAACATTGCACGTATAGGTCCACGTTTTGGTATAGCCCCCATATAACGGTAACTCCCGATATTCGGTTTTTCAATTTTTTGCTACATTTTTCACGGATTTGTTTAAAAATTGGTACTTGTTGGTCATAATGGGTTCCAGCTCCGGTGGCGAAACATTGCATGTATGAGTTGGTATAGCCCCCATATAACGGTACCTCCCGACATTCGGTATTTTGACATTTTTTCACTGATTTGTCTAAAAATTGGTATTTGTGGGTCATAAAGGGTTCTACATTGTGTGTGACATTGTATGTATAGGTCCTCGTTTTGGTATAGTCCCCATATAACGGTACCTCCCAATATTCGGTATTTTGACAGATTTTTTCATGAATTTCTCTGAAAGTTGGTAGTTATAGATCATAATGGGTCCCAGTTCGTGTGGCGAGCTATTGTAATTATGATCCACGTTTTGGTATAGCCCCTATATAACGGTATTTCCCCATATTCCGTAATTTGATGATTTTTGCCACATTTTTTCACGGATTTGTATGAAAATTGGTATTTATAGGTCAAAATCGGTTCTAGCTCCGTTGGCGAAACATTGTATGTATAGAGTACTCTCGATAAGATTTCCAATGGTACCCATGTTGTCCCGGCAGAATTTATCCTTGTAGGGGTATTGCTCACAAGAATTATCCTTACCCCAGTTTAATTTCGGAAATGGGTGGATTCGGCGGCATTGGACAATATTTTTTAAACTTTTTATTATTGCTAGGAAGAGCACTCTCGATAAGCTTTCCAATGGTGCCCATGTTGTCCCGGCAGAATTATAATTAAAGGATCAATAAGCATATAACAAAGCCAACACGAATAATGATACAGGCATTTATCGAATAACTTAATACTGAATTTTTTGGCGAAAATAATAAAAAAATGAATAAAGTTTTATTATTTTTAATAAAATATATTTTTATACCCTCCACCTTTCCATGTAGGGTATATTAGCCTTGTCATTCCGTTTGTAACTCCTCGAAATACTCATAATATACCCTATAAAGTATATATATTCTAGATCAGCGTAAAATTTTAAGACGATCTAGCGATGTCCTTCCGTCTATCCGTCTGTGGAAACCACTCTACTTTCCGAACGAAATGAAGTCGGTTGATAGAATTTTACTCAAATGTATATTATATCTGCAGGACTTTTGCTATTGAAAATGGACCATGTAGGTCCACATTTTGATATAGCCCCCATATAATGGTACCTCCCTATATTCGGTACTTTGCTGATTTTAGCGACGTTATTAATCGGAATTGTTTCACATTTCGTATTTGAAAATCGTAATAGATACTTCAAACTGCAACAAAACATTGTCCATGCAGGTCCACTTCTTCGTATATCCCACATGTAATGTACCCCCATTTTTCGGTATTTTGATTATATTAGCGACATTATTCAACGGAATTGTATTAAATTTCTTATTGAAAGGTCCAAATGGGTACTACGTTTTTTTCGTATGCAGCTCCTCACATAGCCCCTATATAACGGTTTTAATTTAAATGGAATTTTTCAACGAATTTTTTTAAAGTTTTTCCAGTTTCTTTCAAATGGCGGAAGGTATTTAAAGTTCGGCCCTGAAAAGAATTTTTGTAAAAAAAGGCTTTTGAAATTTATTTATATTGCGAAATTGAATAAAGAATATTTTTGTTTCCGATGTCATTCTTCTGAAACCATGCTTATAGGTGAATCTTACATAAACTCACATAAAGTGCGAAATGCATTTCTGGCATTTAGGTAAGATTTAGAATTTTGATGTCGTCTGGGTCCAAAATTAAAATTCTATGACAAATAAATTTGTGAAAAATTTTGATCTTCTACGATTCCGTTTCAATGGAGTTCTTAAGCATATTCTGCAAAAAGGACCACAAAGACTCCTTGAGGGTTAAAATGCTTGACCAAAATTATTATATCCTCAGCCACATCGAATAACGATTTTTGGACCCCATGTCTCTTTGGACCCAATCCGTTTTAGGACATTTGATCTAAAGGATCGTCTGTCTGGCTGGTGGGAGCCAGGGAGTTTCCGATTTGATCCAAACTTGGTATATCGTATTATTATTATTATCAAACTTAGATCGGGTTCGGAGATCGTCCACAACATCTGGCACCTCTCCCAAAAAAGATCAAAAATTTCAAAGAAAATAATTAACCTCATAAGATAATTGTCCTATTATCTTCAAACTGCACACATCGCAATATTTTTACTACCGCAAGATCTCGTGTAAAGATGGAATATATATGTCCACTCCAACTGGTACCTCCCCCACAATGGTCCGAATTAAGCATCCAATTCTC